TTTTTTTTATTGCTTCCATTCAATGAACTTTACGCCTGCGCTTCGAATATTGAGATTTGCAACTTTTTAGCTTTTAGATGGATATTTATGGAAGTTTCATTTTAAAATTTTATTACTTTTTTTCTATTAAAGATACTGAATTATTTTTTTTGTTGTTGTTGAAGGGGCCAAACTATCAATTATTTTTATTAAAAGTATTAAACTTTAAATTTTTTCTATGAAGATGTCAAACTTTCACATTTTTTTCTTACAATGTTAAATTTTGACATGACAATTAAGACTTACTTAAACATTTGTAATCTAAACAATTTCAAATTAACTTTTTCTTTTTTTTCAATTATTTCAATAAAAACCACAAAAACCACCCAAATAAATAAAACCTACGCACACTCCAATTTTTTCAATGGCTCTCATTATAAGCAACAATGGGGAAGGAGGCAGAATCCTCTACATCACCCGCACAAGAAACCCTTTCCGTCACCACGCCATCTTCTTCCCCACCTCGACCTCGACCTCCCCTACTCAAGCTCCTACGCCTACTCGTCTCGTAGTCTCGACTGCCAAGAAGCTCTCTTCTCGAACCGGACGCTTCGATAGCAAGAACCGCCGGAGTGGCGGCGCAACCACTACGAAAGAGCAGCAAGAACAGACGACTGAACCACATTAACGGAGGCTTCAGAATTCAGATTGAAGATGAGAGCGTTGGTAGTATTAGTAAAATTGAAAACGTTGGCGTGAGTGTTGATGATGGGCTTGTTGTGCCGGATCTTACCCGGTGAAAACCCGGCTTCTGGGAGGGTTCTCAGTGGGACGGGTTTGGTTTCTTCATGCAAGACGTGGGCTTTTGGCATCGGCTTTGTGGTATGCATAATTGATTTTATTGAGTCTTTGAATTAGACATGTTAAATAAGTTGAATTGGGAATTCTTGAATATGTTGCAGTCACGTGGTTATATTTATTGTTTCAAAATGAATATTTTACACTTAGAAGATTTCGAATTAAGTCAGAATTTGTGATGTTATTATTCTTATTGAAAATATTTAGTGGCGGCTAATGTCCAAATCAGCTAATGAGGAATCTATTATGATCAGCATTCTGGTAGGTTTTATTTATTATTGATAATTTTTGTAGTCTTTATTGAAATAATAAAAAAAAGGGTTAATTTGATATTTTTTAGATTATAAATCTCTAAGTTAGCTTTAATTATTATGTCAAAATGTCTAGTCAATACAACAAAATTGTCATGTCAATGATTTTTAATGAAAAAAATGTCATGTCAATAATATTTAATGCTATAAGAAAAACGAAAAAGATACAGTCACCAAAGTTATTCATCGAATTAATACACCAAATGACGTAATAAAATCTTGACTGTCGATTAATATATTAAGTTAAAATTAATCAACGGTCAGGATTTTATCACATCATTCAGTACATGAATTCGGTACACTACTTCGGTGACTATAGCATTACTCTAGAAAAAAATATGAAAGTTTGGTACATTTAATAGGAAAAACTTAAAGTTAGATACTTTTAATAAAAATAATTACAGTAAAACTTCTCTATAGTGATACTCTATATAGGAATAAACTCTACATAGTCATAAAAAATTATATTCCTAATTTGGGATAGTTATAAATAAGAATAAACTCCACATTGTAATAAATTATAATTTTTCTAATTCCCGTCTTAAGGAAAGTTGTCTCCATATGGTAATAATTATTTGCATATTGTAAAAAAATATATGGTATGTTACATTAAAGGTTTAAGATGAAAAAAAATATTTATCTAAAGTTGTTTAGGACAATAATTTATATTTTAGAGTTGTTATTACATCTTTTAACTTGCGAGTACATTACTCGCTAGCATAGACATTTTCTTCTTACAGCCAAAACATTTCTAGCTTCTCAAGCATGTCTAGAGCTTCTTGACAGAGCTTCTTGACATGAAACTTTTTGTATTTACGTACTATCATCCTCATAATTATTTTCTTTCTCTTCTTGTTTAATTGTAGATATGATTTCTTCTTTTGTTAAAGTATACATGACTTGTTACTCATTTGGATGATTAAGAAAGACATTAATATTCATTCGATTAGTGCAGTAAAGTTGTCGAATCTGATCACTCAATTCCCTAGTTAGTAAATACGGGTACAGCAAAAAAACAGTACGGGAATTTTACGGGTATAATACGGCAAATGATGAAAAATACGTTTATAAAAATTTGGCTATAAAATTCGGATACGGAAAAAATACGATACGGGTATATACAGGTTTAATACAATGCATTGTCAATAATACGTTTTGAAAAATACGTCAATATCAATCTTAGTATTAATAATTTTATGGATTACCTGGCTAAAATTAATATAGTATTTCAAATGTAAAGTATTCAATTAACCAATAACACAAATATACAATATATAACTTGTATTCAAATTATAATCTCTAGACTCAAACACAATATTTAGCCATGATTCTTTACTAATTTAAAACTTGATAACTATGATATTAAATGCAACAAATTTTAACTTCCTATTAATCCATCAAAAAATAAAATTTTGTCTCACAAATCTTATTTTATACCTATAATATATGACTTTTTTTTTTCACAATAAATTATTATTTTAATATCATCAATCCAATCTAATTTATTAGATAGCACGAAAATAATTGAAGAATATGAAATGATTTTGTATGTGTTTTGAGTTTAAAGTGTAAAGGTGTGGGCGGGAAAATGGATGTCAGGAAGTCATTTTAAGTTTTGAATTTTTGAGAGGATTATTTTATATTTTTATTCTCCTTTTCCAATAAAACAAATGGATGTCAGTGGTTAAATCAGTGTGAAATGGGTGGGAAAAAGATGTCAATTTCAATTATTCGCGAATTATTCGCTAATTATTCGGATACTCCAAAAATTCGCGAATAATTCGGCAGCTCTTGAGAAATATGTGGATACGCGTTTTATATGCGAATTATACGGATGATCGTCTAATTCGCGTATAAAATGCATATTTACTAATTAGGCTCAATTCTACAATGACTCTTTGATTCTCCTCATCCACTTCATTTGTAACTTACAATTCATCGACATCGAGGGTCCTAATTTTATAATGCTTAAAACAGTTGGCAATAGTCTGTGGCTTCACATCAGTTGTCATACAGCAACTGCATTTACAATTCTATCAAGGATAGTTATCTTTGTTGATTTCAAAACATAATCTTTTATCCGTTTCAAAAGTAGGCAATTAAAGCGCTGAATTGAAACCCTAATATTATTAAAACATGAATTGAAATCTTAATATTGTACTACTAAAATATGAATTATGAAATAAGAAATTTTTTAACTACACCTCTATTTAGTTATAACATCCTCATTATGATAAAATTAGTTAGTCTCACCATTATAATTATAGAAATATTTTACTGTAATAGTTTGATATCTTTAACAGGAAAAAAATGATTCAATACCTTTAATAGGAAAAAAAGTAATAACTCGGTGCTTTCCAATGTAATTAAGCCTTTTAAAATTGAAACTTCTATAAATATCAATATCAAGTAATAACTCGGTACTTTCTAATGTAATTAAGCCTTTTAAAATTGAAACTTCTATAAATATCAATATCAAAGAGTAGCCACCTTAGGCCAGAGACGTCGATGGCCTGTGATCTTTCTTTTAAAAAAAAAAAAAATTATTTTGGTTTTGTTTATTTTTAATTTAATTTTTTAGTCCCTTTATTTGTTTTAGTATTTTTAATTTATTGTTTAATTTTGTTGTCTTGAATTTTCTTTTTAAATTGTGATGATTTTTCACTTTTTACTTTTTATTTTTATTTTTATATGAATTTTGTCTATTGTTAGAAAGTAATAAGTTAAATCTATAAATTTACTATCTTACCCTTACACAATGTTAAATTTAACACCAACTAATTACAAATTGTCCTTTTTCTGTGTATTTTTTTGTCTTTTTCAAAAAGATTGTCTCTTGATTAACTGAAGGCTTTAAATTTATAAAAAAGAAAAAAATAATGTTAATTTTGAATTTTATTTAACAAGAGACTTGGAAAGAGTTTACATGGGTTCAAATAACAATACTCTATTGAGCGATAAAAGCACATGAAATGTTAATTTTATCTCTTATGAGTGTTATACATACAAGATCATTATAAAAATTAGGGTTTATCTTATTTAAACCCTCCTGAAATCAATTAGTATTAAACTCATATGCTTCATTTAAAAAAGTATCAAAAACACCCTTGTCGATAGTGATATGTTGGTTCTATCCAATTTTAAATTCAAACGTCTATTTTACGCCTCCTATCACTTAACAATTTATATTTAATTTATATTTATCTTTTATACACTTAAGTCGATGGTGTTGACATGGGGTTTTCTATCCACGGATCTAACAATGACGATGATAGTGTGCGAGTCCTCACAAAAACTTGGTTTCATTTTTCAATAATGCTATGCTTATTCACGAGCTTACTAACCGCTTTACTATCTTTGTTAAAATTATATATGGTACTTGTACTATGTGTATAGTACCCGTACTATGCGTTATATTTATAAAAGATAGTAAAATGATTAGTAAGATCATGAATAAGCATAACATTACTCTTCATTTTTTGTATAAATGAAATATAAAATGCACAAAGGAAGATAAGAAAAATAAAAAAATAAAACAAAGTAAAAGGAAATTAGAAAAAAAAAAAAAAAAATGAAAAGATTTCTGTTGCCAGGAATCGAACCGAATATGCTAACCGACTAGACTACAATGTATTTTTGTATGGGCCTGAATTTTATGTTAGATTAATTAATTAAATACAATAGTTTAATTTCAAAAGACTAATTTAACTCATAACTAAAAACAACCATACATATAATTAACCACCGGTGCCCCTAGCAGGTCGTGAATGAAATCCCAGAGAACATCTCCCACTCAACTATGATAAGAAGTGCCTATCATTTGTCTCCTTTGTATTATTTTACGGACTTTGATTGAATTAAAAAATGTCAAGAGAAAATTAAACTTCCCAGAAACAAAAATATCTGAATTCATTTGTTTCTATACAACTGATTATATAAGATTAATTTGAACTGCAGCTTAACAATAGATGACAGAGAGGAAATATTCTACGGGTTTCTGAAAGTTTAAACAAAGCTCATACATCAGTCAAGATTAATGAAGATACAATCACAACATAGGCAAGAAAAAAGAAAATGGCTATTTGAACGAAGAACTTTGGATTTTCCCTCATGTTTGGTGATGTAACTGCCCTACAAACCAGAACACCATGTATATAAAGTAAATAAATAAAAAGGGGTGAAAATCTAGTTCAAAAGAGTATTCCTCTCATTTTTCAATAGGAAATTACCTAGCAATGCGCTGAGAAAATCTGTGAAAAGGCAAACTCTGGATGAAGACGATGCCTGGTCCCGTTAGAACAGCTGTCACCAAATTGTCACCCTGAAATTTCAACATTGTTATGAACAGAACATTCTAACAAACGAACAACAATAGATGTATAAAAGCATGAATGTTGAACTCCCAAAAAAGCCTGGATCTAGCACCATGATTTTTAGATTGTATTAAATCGCTGGAATGCCTCAAGGACCTCCTCGTTGTCGTCAAACTATTTATAGAGTTGCAAGAGAATCTAAATAGAAGGGTTTATCCCTCAGCAGCAGCCACAATGTACAAGGTGCTCAAATTACATAGCTCTCAATGTCATTTTAATTATGCATATCTCCCCTGTCACTTAGCCAGCCATTTTATTGAAATGGGAGGTTTCAATCCACAAAGAACTGAAGATCTTCTACAAGAATATCATAGATACAGAGTGAATGCAGAGACAGAGTAGAAAACACTAGTAATTGAAGTAACTTACCCCAAAGACCACCCTTCGCATGGGTCCATTGTATTTAATTTGGACATTGACTGAGGCAGTGAGGGCCACAATGCAAGACACATCAACAGTTAGTATCTCGCCCACTTCAAGATTTTTCTGCACAACTAGCAAAAAGGAAATAACGGTCTGCTGATTAGTCTAAATGATACAATATCCAGAAACTATATTATATTGACACAAGAAATGTTATAAACCTATACAAGAAGCATAATGTGCTAGTCAGTTAACTATAGCAGGTGAAAGCAGTAAGGGTAATAAAGAGCAAAGAGGGGCAAAAGTTTGCTAAACAGCAAGCTGGAGAATTCAATTTGAGCAGTACAACAACACTAAGGTATAACTACACAGCCAAGGTACAAGAACTACCCGGCGAAGGCATGCTTGAATCAGGAACAAACTAAAAGCTAGTCAACATTCAGTTCCAATTACATTATCACAAAATTTAGAGCAGACCAAACTCTTTAGAGATCCTGACAAGAGTATTTCTAGAGGTATACATATAAATCAAAAATGCATACCAGATCCACCAGCGAGAATAAATGCAAGCCCCTGGCCGGTTAGCTTCTGTCTCAGAAAACCCTATATTAGAATTGAAGTATTAATTAATAAGATTATTTGGAAAATTCGGGAGAAAAAGCAAAGTGGCATAAATTAAAATCTGAAAAACATAAGGTACTAGAAGAGGCAGAGGCACGGAACCAATAGTGTGTGTGCACGTGCACAGTGCACACACGAAGAAGAGAGGACAGTAAGCTAACTCTCAGTATCATCTTACCTCTGCACTAGCGACAGTGCACGCACACAAAGAAGAGAGGACAGAAAGCTAACTCTCAGTATCATCTTACCTCTACACTAGCGACAGTGCATGCACACAAAGAAGAGAGGACAGAAAGCTAACTCTCAGTATCATCTTACCTCTACACCAGTGACAACATTTCTTGGCCTCTGATCAACCGTATTATTGACTTTCACATCATTGACAGAGCACAAAAATGCATCTGGCTACAAAACAATTAGACAAAGTCACATAAAAATGTTGCTCATAGAAATCTGGAAAGAAAAACAAGTATACCAAAAAAAAAAAAAAAAAAAAAAAAAAGTAATTGAACAGCATCAGACAACTACAAATATCCAAACTTAATAACTGAAAGAGGAGGAAAACTAAAAGTTTAAGTAGCAAAGGACAATAACTGAAGTGAAAAAAGCCAGCTCTACCTGGCATAAAAGCTCTCCTCCAAACATGCTAAATCAATCTGTAAAATAAATGGGAACCAATCACAAATCTTTGCTATAGTTAATCATATCCAAAATACTTCTGGAACATCAACTATTGTAAACTTTAAATATACAGGAAATGCAATAGCAGAAACTTGGTAATCTGAGTACAAACCGGTAGAAATCCTTGCAAGAGAAGGTGCAGCAATTCCAACAAATCCATCACTTGTACCAGGATTGCGGAAAACTACACTAGTAACGCTCTTGCCAAAAAGCCACTGCCACATGCCCACTTCATTTTCAGGGATGTAAACATTTTCCATTTCGACAGACCCAGACATGAGCACATGGAACCTAAAATTTATCATATATAAGGTGAAACATCAATATTATAACCAAAAAGGAGAACCATTTTATCATTTCAGATTCACAAACTTACACCATTATATCATGGAGATGCATAGAGCAAACATTATCCATATTTAAAGCCATTGTGGGGCTATAGTACTAATTTTTTAAGTTAAATTTAGAGAAACATATACTAGCCTCTACCACAGCAATCTAAGGTTTAAAGTTGTTGAGATGGCATAAAATAAATAAAAAAGGAACAAGAGCTGTTTTAACTCCTCTCTTAAAGTCCTATATTGAAATGTGATAGATACCTCTCCCAACTCAGCCAACGCAACCAAACAGCAAGCAGTAAACATATAAACCCAGAAAATCAACACACTCAGTAGCCAAAATCTAGAAAAGCAAGACAACCAACACCTCTATATAATTCCAGAACAAAATACACAGCAAATAGAAACTAGCAAAGCTACCCAACATAGAAAAAACAAACAGAAAACTCAATAAAAGAACAGGATAATGGTGCTGGACTTTGAGGCCAGCTGCTCCCTAATTACTAGTCTTCGAGGGCTAGTTCCTCCTTTATCCCTTCTATTTCTTCTTCCCTAAAACAGTTCCCTCTTTCCCTTTCTTTTATTCTCATCTCATTCTCTCTCAATAACCAAATTTCCTTTCCTGACCAACCTATTGCCATCTGTCCCATCCCAAATATACTCCTGACACCTTTCACAATAAGAATCTTCCGTCACCTCCCTTTTTATCTGCTGCCAACTCCCTTACCTTTCCTCCATACACTTCATCATTGTAGTTTTCACAAATGGAATGAATTTGTCTCAGTTTAAATTAAAACTTAATTTACAATAGCATGAATCTAAAGCTAAATAGTGCTGGACATAAAAAAATTTTGTTGTACTTCCAACAGTTATCAAGTACATGATATTTACTCCGACACTTATGACAAGTCATCACCTTGAGATGCAACAGATCAACACCCCATGCCAAGAACCCTATGCATGGCTCCACAAGGGCTAGATTGAGGAAGAACAAACAATTTGCCAAATTATTTAAGGTTGTATTGGGGTTACTAGGAGATAAAGTAAATACTGATAACCAGTAAAAAGGTAACTTGTACGCATTACCTAATTGATACCAATAGGAAAACAGAGGGGCATGCCAACTAGTGAGGGTAAACTAAGACAAAATGGAGACTTGGAGACGGGCGGATCCAGCCTACTTTTGGGTGGGCCATGAATTTTATTTTAAAAAACTAATATATATAATTTCTAGATTTTGGCCCACCCTAACAAAAATATTAATGAACAAAAATATTAATGTGTAATTAGTTTTTATTTTGGCCCACCCTAACAAAAATTTCTGGATCCGCTACTGCTTGGAGATACCATGATTCTTAGTATTTCAAAAGGTTGGGAATATGTCAAGCCTAAAGAAATCACCATTCCAAAGGCTTTATGTGTGTGTAATCAGACAAGCAGATATTGAACATTTGGATGGGGAAGACAGATGTTACTGTTGATTGCGTCACAAAGAACTAAACTATATAATCCAAAGTTATATTGAGGGTCAGGTAACAGCCATCAAGAGAAATTATATACTAATTCTCCATGCTATAAAAAAACTAAAAGAGAACTGCATGAAGGCAGATTAAGAAACCGACCTGCCAGCCACTTACCAGGCCTTGCAATAACCTTCTCTTGTGGTTCAACATTATCTGAGAAAGCAAAACCAATAAGAAAAATAAATAGTTATAGATAGACGCACATGGAACAGAAGCTAAAGAAAGTATGTTTCAGATGTCATCAAAAGTACCTGCACAACCTGAGCTTCACCACCTAAAATCTGGAAAGGTTTTACAGCATCTTGTGGACTCTGCAGTACAATAACCATAAAAATTTGTAGACAACAATTTCTTGCTTTAGTATATAAGCATAAGCATAAGCATATACTACTCGGTTTGTGCCTATTTTATTCCTTCCTATACATTTTGTGTACACAAATAATACCAATTCAACTTTGATTGTTTGGTCTCATCTTTGATTTCCAATTGTTACACTATAACATTTCAACGTCTACACAAACCTAATCTCCCCACCAAACTGATTATCCAAAAATCATAGACGCTGTGTAAGATACAATCAACGAATTGGATAAATAGTCCCCTCAACCCTAACTAGCGAATTAAAGGCATGATCTTCAAAGTGCACTTAAACAAAACAGATCAAACGCAAAACAGTCTAACCCATCATTCTAACAAATTTGAGGACAAAACTTCATGAAAGCAATCAATGCCGTAGTTAGTCAGGAACATAAAAAAAATAAAATAAATTCTCTCCGCAGCCAAACAAAAAGTTAGTAAAATCTTTTAAGCGATTGATAAATTCAAGAGAGAACCTGGTAACATACGGTTGAAAAGGGTTGGAAAAACGGCGCGGCCAAACAGAGACGCGGAAGATTGTAGTTTTAAGGAAACTAACAAGAAGAAACCGAAACGTCTGACTTCTCAGATCATTCACTTCAGCATTGAGATCTGGTTTGTTTGATCCGATCAAAACAATGGATTTTCATACAGTTTTCACTAAAAAAAAAAAAAAAAAAAATTGCCGGATTTCGGTTCTTTTCTAACTTCGTGGTTTATAGGTCGCGGAATAAATAAAAACAAAATTTTAAGTGACTAAAATAACCTTAACAATTGATATTTGCTAATAGATTTCACCGAACTGGTATTATTTTAAAATGGCTTTTTAGTCAATTGACTTTCATTCTGGATTTTTGGTTCCCATCATTACATGGTTTTTGCACTAATGTTTGTGCGAAATATTACACGTGGAATTATTATGATGTGGCGTCTTATAATTGGAGGAAGTTCAAGTCCTGACGCGTTCGACTCTTGTCACTTGTCAGCCTACGTTACCTCGCTTTCGCGGTGGGAAGTGCCATACTGGCGGACTGTTCTCGCGACGTCGTTTCCCAAAATGTTGTTTGATATGGACTTTTTTCTGTGGGCCACACCGTCTCCTAACTTTCCTAATTGGGTAATAATTATCTATGGAATAATGCTAGTCTTACTCATTCTCACTACTCAATTCTCTTATTAACAAAGGTAAGTAAAGAAAGTGAGTAAGACTAACATTACTCTTATCTTTCAATAGCAACAGTTTAAAAACTGTACTTAAAAAGACACCAAATTTTAATGTTTAATGTTGAAAATGGCAAAATCTTTGTATTTGATCAAAATATGGATTTTCATAGATTTTTTGAATTACTGATATATTAATTTTGTAATTCTCATAAACAATTAAGGTGTATACAAGTTTACTTTATGTTGTTACGAAATCTCACACAACTAGGGTGATCTGATTGACCTTATTGAAATCAAAACTGATGGCCTCATCATTATAAATAATCAGCAAGTGAATTGAAAATACAGATGCAAAAAATATATTTTTTTATAACTGATATGGCCGTCAACAGTCAGATCTCTGGCTGTTAACAACGGTAAAAAATCTGACCGTTATAAATCTGGTCGTTTTCAACAAGATCTATTGTAGATCTGGTCGGAAATGGTCATATCGACGCATGACTAGCCAAATCAAGTCTGTCATGTGCAGTTTCTGCTACTGCCGGCTACCATCCACGGTGGTGGCCGACTGTCTTCTTAGGTGACTAGGGTGCTTTATTTAATATTTAAACTTTTATTATGAGAGTGGCTAATTAACAAATGTAGAGGGTAAAAAAATAATTAAATATAACATTTATATAATAATAATAATATTAAAATAGATAATATACTTACCAATTTATTCCTCCCAACCAAACATATATAAAACACCCACAAATTTATCTAACCAAACATATTTCCTTAAACATTCTTAATAATCTTCAAAGTAATATATCTTTCCAGTAATATAACATTTACAGTAATACAATATTTCCTGAACCAAATGCACCCTTATAATCATTTGCTAACCAAGCACTCTAGAGTGTAAATATAAGCTACTCTCCACTCACCTTGCTTTTCAGTGTGAGACTCAAACATTTTTTGAATAATTTTCTTCCCTTAGTTTTCCAACAATCCTCCACATATTCCAAATATTGTAACAATAACCAGAGGTAAAAGACTTCAATGTATATGAATTGGTGCCGTCACGGCTATGAACCAGCCATCAAATTATTAATCGCATCCCACAAGAACTTAGTGAAACTTAAAGCTTCTATGAACCAATATTCTTTTATTGTGAGTTAGAGAACTAGTAATTTAGAATGAAATCTGTAACAATTTTTTATTCTACGGTTTGACACTTTAATGGTCTTATACCAGCCTAGAATTCATGAATGCTCGAGAGATGCATGCCTTAATTGTCATAGGAACCGACCCAATTTCACACTCACATAGGTAAACTTCCATCAAATGTATTATGTATAACACAATATTCATGGTCAGTGATAGTGCCAAAAAATGTCCTCGGCCCAAATAGGTCCAAAAACGAAGACACCTTCAACAAAGCTAGAAGCTCAAGCCCAATTCTGATTGGGCCCATAACAAAGTTCTGTAGATGAGGCCCGTTCGGTATGCTTTCCCAGTTTCTCACCATCTAGACCCAGACCTTCTGATCCTAGGACACCTTCTAGACTTACGATCAACTTGGAGCCCACAATCGCCTAC